GAACAGCTGGACGCTTGTGAATCGCAACTGCCACCGGTTTTGAAGTCACAAGAGTATGCAACAGAAGGAATTCCTGCGACGACGCGCATATCTCTAACAGCAAACCACCTCTGCATAGACCAACAGTAAGCCGGGCTGTTGTGTGTTTCACAGATGCAGTTTGAAGGTCTTTGCTCGGCCTGTGCACTTGATCGCAAATGCCGGGGAAGGCACGAGACACTTCTGTATGGGATGGAGAATCCGTGCGAAAGGCAGGCGGCGTCTAACAACCTGCATGCTCCTTCTTGCGACCTGGGCCAGCACATCCACGTGGTGGGTAAACCACCTTAAGAATCGGCCTGAGCACTCCAAGGAGAGACCATCTCCCCTGCGGTTGTTAGAATCAAACACCCTTAAATGCACTAGCACCTTCAAGTGCGCGTGCTTCTAGATGCTGCAGATCTCTGACGCATGCAAACGAGCACCAGACACACCCACAACACGTTCTGGGGCTGAGAAAGGCACCGCGCAGCATAAAGTCATGATCTCATGGGCTTCGGAATTCTTAATTTTTGATCGGCCTGGAGAGGACTCTGAGATTTGCCAGTAAACCCTGGAAGGGACACCGACATTTCAAACAGGAAAGCACACACAAGCGCGGGAAGTGGCCACCAACCAACCACAGGTATCTTCCGACAGGCTGGCAAGTGTTTACACTTTTTTCAGGGGGTCAACCACACAACGAAGCACGAAGACTCCTTAGAGAATGAAGCACTTCTGAAATTGCTAGTATCAAAACACCCTTGTATGCACGAGCACCTTCAAGTGAAAGTGCTTCTAGATGCTGCTGACCTGCGATGTATGCAAAGTGGCGAAGTGCTGGCAAGGAACCGTCTGGGCATTCACCCTCACGAAATACTGGGCAACACTCAGTCACGGTGCTTTGAAGCAACTGCGCAGCAAGCCGTCACGCTGTGTTTGCGCATTAAATGCAGTGGAGCAGAACAGACAAATCCACCAAAGATAAATGGAAACAAAGTGAAGGCCCTCCTCAAACAATTCACTCGTGACCGCGGTGGGGAAACTCCGAAATTCCTGTGAGGCTTCTGCCGCAGGTTTGTCAGAAAGGCATCAATCCTCCGCTCCAAGTTCGCCAGAACCACTGCAGTGCTGGCATCTCGGCAGTCCTTACATGCTGCGCGAAAGCGGAGATCTGCGCAGGACATCCGCAGGAACTCAATGCAAACTCTTCGGACGGCTTGCAGGAATGAGGCCATGCAGCGTTCTCGCGTGCGGCACCAAGTTCCCAAGGCTGGAACGACAATCCACAACCGCAAATGTGCAAGGGCAAGTGCTGTACTCATGGCAGCCCTGGGCAAATGAAGCCCACATCACTTCTGTGAATTGACTGATGCTGAGCTGAGATTGAGAACAAACTCACCGGCATGCGTGCGGCGAGAAGGAATGTTCGGGAGTATCACAAACACCTGCCTAGTATCTGGCCTACAAAGACCAAGTCCGAATTCCAGATATTAGTACGCTTGCGTTCCACTCCTGGCTGTCTGGTTCTCACAACTCTTTTGACTGTGTAGCCATGCTCGTCAATGAGGAGCAATGCGCTTGCAGCGTCTTGTCTGGGGAAAGACGGGATTGCCATGTTCCACACCGGGGCTTCCATGATCCACCCAGAGACACCAAAACAAGTGCAAGCATGCACTCAATGCACTGTGTAGTGAATGCGTCGTATAAAGGAACAATAGTAGTTGTTTTGGGTTGAAAATTGTTGTTCCGATGCTGGTTTGCGCACACAGCTCTTCACTGCTGACGCACGATCCTTGCAAACATACTTCCTTTTGACAACTGCATTGCCCTACAAAGCTAAATTAAACTTGGCACTTGATCCGAGCAGCGCAGGTAAAAGATAATGCCTCGCTCTTTGCAGCATGCACTCAAGATTGACTCTCCTGCAGAAAGTCTCAGGTGGAAAAGGATTACCTGAAGGCTCGATGAGTGGAGCAACTGAGGACTGTCGTGCAGAAACTACGGGCGTGCCAGACATGACAGAATGTGTGAGCACAAGAGGAGTTTTGCGGAGCCAGATTTCATCCACCCTCTGTTGGTTGAAGTATGCCCGAGTTCAAGAGTGCAGTACTGCTAGTTAATGGAATATTACACTTGCAGCTCGCATACTCGCAGTCACACAGGCAGTCTGAAGACTGGTAGTTTGGGGCTTTGTGCTCTCGATTCCTCATTTGCTTCGTGTTGGGAACGTGCAAAACATGGACTCGCTCTGGCTGCCCTCCGAAGCATGGCCCCGGAGTTCTAAAACCAAGGCTTTGAGGCATTCACCACAAGCCAGCAAGCCAGCTGCCTGCTAAGGAGACCAGCCACCATGCTGCGGTTGAGATACCTTGTATACAGTATACGTGTTTGAAAGCTGCCAACAATGCATTCCGAACCATGGGATTGCAAAGTACCCAGCAGCCTTCAACTGCAGCGGGTTTGGCACCAATGGTGGCCGGAAAATCTAGCAATGAGCTACAGCAGCTGTGTCTCTAAACATTAACTTGCGAGATTGCTCGTCTGAAAAGGACTCATCAAAAGGCGCTGCATTCAGCCAGGCCGTCCGCGTGCTACTGCTCCTTTGTTGCAAAGCTGCTGCATGCGTTTGCAATGGATTTTCTACTCATCTGTTTTTCAGAACATCTGCTCCCATAGAAACATTTCCGTACATGAACAAGAACGTGTAGTCGTTCCCCCTCCGTACATGTTTTGGCCACCTTCTGGCTAATGGACCTCGCTCACGTCTAGGACTGTCTCAAGAACGTTAACTTCCGAAGGGTAAAAACAACCAGCACCCTTGATGCCAGGACGCGCACCTACTTCGACACATGCCCTGGTGGGTTCTAGCAGCCTCTTCTTGTGGCTACAGTGAGATTAGCAGTGACAATGAGATGACGATGACTCTACCTGTGAGGTTCTGTGCTAAAGAGGCTATACTTCACCAAATCATTCCAGAGTCCCCCGTGAAATTATGGTACGGCCATGCACCACAACTCGCAAAGCCAGCGTGTTCCAAACCTGGTGACCCTAAAGCCTATCCAAACTTTAAGGAGAGTACCTAAAAGCAATCATCGCGTTCCGGAAGGAGAGCAAAGACCACCTATGTCACTGCTGGCGTGCACCTGCCTATTGGTTCTAGTGGTGCAGTGGGCTTTGTCAAAAGATGTTCGGACGAGAGCTTGCACCTATGCCGACTTGAGGCGTTAAACATCACTGCTGTTGCTATGGTGTGTCCCATGTTGCAGTTCGGCCTTGACCACTAGTATCTGCGGCTGCCCTGATTACCGATGCTTTTCGCTACGGCCCCTTACTGCTCCTTGACGGCGTCAACGTCAGCCCGCAAGGAGATGGCGCAGCGCAAAGGCCCAAGCCAGATACTCAGGGCAACAAGCAGCAACGTCACGGCGAGCGACAAGAGAAAGTTGAAGACGCCTTCCACGGATGAGAGCTATGTAAGCATGTAAGGCCAAGACCAACGGCACCAGCACTGCTACACTTGCTGCTCTGCTACCACATCCACCACAACAATCACCACCACTGTCGCTGCCACCACCACCTTTCACGATTGCTACTGTTGCTAGCAAAAGAAAGTAAACTCCAATCAGCTGCCCATTCTTGCTACAGTTTATAGGGGCTTGGCGCAAGTCACAGCCACCAGCAGGAAGAAGCATGGGTGCCTCCCTGCGCCAAGACGACCACCACAAGTGACGCCAGAGAGCTCCCCAGGAAAGACAGTGCTGTTAGCAAAGATGAGGCTGAACCGGCAATCTCCTGCGGGCTCACCACGCCAGCCCCAGCATCGAGCCATGGTGTGTTACACTTACAGCGAATAGAACTTTCATTCATTCAGTGTGTTCAGGCACTGTCATGTCATGAAAATTCTGTCCTCAATGCCCTCTGTAAACTGGCACAAGGAGCAAACGTAGGGAGTCCAGATCACCAACTCAGCGAAACAGGTGGCTGCCATGTACCAGCCCAGGCTGTTGCTCCTTGTACGGGTCCCCCAAGCTGAGTAGGTGAGCTACTACGGCCGAGAATGTCACGCTCTCTATCACTCCCAATGATCTCAGCAAGCTTTTCGCAATTTCCAAACCGCTGCAACCTCTGACTTGTGTATCAGTCCCCTTAGATAGCTCCTGGACGCGGAAAAAGCCAGGCATGCTGCGGAGAGGAGCAAGGGCCCCATGGAAGCCACAAGGCAGCTTCTCGGGCCCCAGGGCAGCCAGGACGGAATGTAGGAACCCAGCATGCCGGAGGCTGCTATTAGCGTGATGCAAATGGACGTCTGGCGCAGCGAGAGGTGCAGATCCCTCCGCAGCATGATCCCGTTGCTGGCTGCCATCCCATCGAAGAAGCTCTTGATGAAGAGGCAAGCTATGAGGATCAAGCAGCGGCAACGGTGCAGGAGCGTACGCCGGGCGCAAGCCCCATAGTTCCTGGGAGGCACACCAACAGAAACAGGACTCGCAGATACAGAGCTCAATGTTGAAGATCACTTTCTAGACTCTGTTTGGACAAACGTCCCTCCCGCACTTGTCGTAGGACTTCGCTGCACAAGCTGAAGCTGCTCAGGTTCTGCGGGGAGAGCACGAAAGAAAGGCGGCTCTGGACGATCAATAGCATGTCGGAAATTTGCGAAATGAATGTGAATCAAACATGACAGGGTGTCTCCAAATGAATTTCCCATATGAGGATACCTCATGATCACCAATAATAATCAGCTATGGCCATGGGAAGATGTCAACTGAATCATCATAATCCTCTTCATCAACGGTGAGGCTCACATCCACAGTCGGAGGAGCGCTTTCCTCCACAACCACGGAGCTGAAAAGAAGAAGGCAGCAGGAGAGGCCGCTGAGCAGGTAGAAGGGGCAGCGCCTGGGGTTCAAGGTTTGGGATCCTGGTCAGACTGTACTTGCTCATGACCTCCAGAAGGACCTTCCGCATATGCCTTACACAGCTAAACAACCCTACATAATCCTACAGAGCACTCAAGCCCTCTTTCTGGAAAGCCCGGGGGTCTGCTAAACGAAACTTCAGAAAGACGACTACTCGATCCTCATCCCGTACTCCTGGGAGTCTGGCCCTAACCCCTTGTATGAAAGGCACCAGCCGAAGGCGTCTGCTAAGAAGCCCCCAGCAGCAGGAGCTGTCAGTGGGCCGAGCTGCATCAGAACTGCCATGGAGCCTTTGAGAGGGCTAGGCGCCGGTGACAATTGGGGCTTGGGATGGTCGGCTTTGCCGCATTTGGAGCCACAAGACGTTCTCTGCGAAACCATGGAGTTAAACAACTTCAGCAACTCACACACCCTAACGGTAACGATCCAGTCGTGTAGAATTAGGCAGTGGAGGAGCATTCTTCCAACAGGATACCCACACAGGAAAGCCCAGAGAGCACACCACCTGATCCCGCGCTCCTTCGCACACAGAGCGAGGGGGCTGACAAAGCCATAATAAAGCACTTATCTTACATAGCAGCTCTGTTCAAAATCCTATGCGGGGATCTTGGCAAGTCCGGTCTTCTGATGGTTTCTCAACGTCATCCCTATATAAGCTCCTAAAAAGACCCCATCGTCCAATTAAACTCTAAGCCCTCAACCCCAAGTCCTCCACAAGCCACAATTCAAACCCCAAACCTTAAAATTCTGCAGACGAAGTTGCCCTGGTAACGCAGTCGCTCTGCCATGTCCGCGTAGCCTGAAGCTGTGCGTGTCCAGTCCAGATCTCATGTTCCTAACTATCTTTTGAAGGAGTCGAGGACTCGTGAAGTACCACTACTTCGTGAGTCTGGTAGGGAATAACGGAATATGTTATCTAGGGATGATACAAGGATGATTTCACCTTGCTTTGCTAACCACTAGTAAGAAAAGACGGGAGAATCTTGCCCACGGATTGTAGGATCGCCCTCACCTACCTATAGGACCAGCATGTACTCCAGGCAGGCTGATGATTGAGGACATGGGATGTTGTTACGCTTGCACTGGTGCGTAGCCTGACAGACATCGCAGGTTTGGTTGCACGGCACAACGAGATATACAGAATCGGCTCTCCACAACAGGCTGCTCGAATACGCTAAGTGACTAATTGACGCTGGCTTACCTTTGTTGCTTCAGGTGGAGAAGGCTGCTGCATCGCTGATTGAAAGCAGAACTTGGCAAAGCTCTTGCTTATCCTGTGACATGATTTTACTCCTGACCCTCAACTTGTTTGAGGCTTGATAGATTTCAACACGGAACACGTTTAACAACAAAAATACAAACCAGCAGACCTTTGACCCTTCTACGTTTGTAAGTCTCATTGGCAATACCTCGTATTCCTTGTTAAATGCTGGGCTTGGCTTGGTTTCTAGAGACCCTGATGAAGGTCAAGAGACAGTCCGGTACTGTTGACAGTACCACGGGTGTCGCAGCCGCTGCCATCCCCTTGTCGAGCTTTACATGATTCCGGCTAAGAGTAAGATTCACGACGGCGGGCACCCGTTGTTAATGGGTTCTTTTCTTTGCAGGCTTTGCTTGTGATTCTCAAGTATGTTTCACCAGAAGTGTGTCTTGGGCCTGTGATGAGTAGGTACACCCTCAAACCAGGGCACCACACCTAACAGATCACTGGACCATACTATAACCACCACGAATTAGCACGATACCACCGCGGAGGATCGCCGGCACGAGGGCAACACGCACCTCACGATCTACATAAAATAAAGGGACAACATATGCGCGCAGCATCACCGAAACATTACAGGAACAAGCGAAGCCTTAATCTAAACCACAGCACAAAACAACAAGTCGTCAAGAGGTCGCAGGAAAATCGCACCACATTCTACATGCAAACACGGAATCACCAAGAAAACACCAAGAAATCACCGAAAGATCACACAGCAGGCATGGAAGGCAGATTTGGCACCACGAATAAATCACCGAAACATGAAGTCTGGCAGCTAGCAAATTCCTCGCGCTCCCCAATAGCTTGCTGACTCGTGGATTTCACAGCTAAGACATTTGAGGGTGATGAAACCCGCGAATCAACAATGATCCGAAACTGGTCCGAAACTGAGGAACTTGCGCATTCAGGAAATGGATTTTCCAATTTTCCAAGAACCAGACCACGGCTTCACACCGCTACGTTGAAGGATGATCGGCCACGGGATCTTCAAAACCGAATATTCCAAAGCAATCCGATTTCCGTGCAACAAAACCTTTGGAAGGCTCTTTCGTGCGTACCACCTACCGGTTCAAATATACCCTCAACCTTTGCCTTTCCCCGCATTCCTCCCTCACGACCAGGAAGCTGCTTCATGAATCAACTGCCCAAATGAAAACCGAACCAAAAACCTTCAATCCTGGCGCAAATATGAACTCCTGCCCTAAACCCTCAACCGCAAACCCAAACCTCAGGTTCGCCTGGAAAATTCGCCCGACTATGAACCAGGGATACGTCTCAGCACAGCCACAGCACAGAGTGCTGGTGGCCAAAAGCGCCTGACATGCCAGAATCACCTCAACCAAGGCTTGTTGTAGGGGGTTGCGGTTTGGGCTTTGGTCTTCGAATCTCGCTATTGTCAGGCAATGTAACACCCAAAGCGCAATGACAAGCATGGACAAGCAAAGCAGGTATTGTTGATTGCCAAGGTACATCTGCCCTCAACAGGAAACAACAAACAAACCTCAAAAATTGAACATTGCATACACCAAATTGACAACGCATGCTTTCAAACCAAGCCGCAGGCCGGCGGCCAATGCTGTCGGACAATGGTCCAAAGATCAACATGAAAATGGCACTGGTAAACAGGTGGACTTGGATCGTGGCCCCCAAATGAACCTTGGAAACCTGAAAATCATCCGCCATGTCGGGCATGCTCGGTTGATATTGGTCAGTGCAAAAAAAATCCAACAAGAGCGTGGCGCCCAGGGCAAACAGCATGCTGGGGCACATCCCAATTCGCTTTTGACGTCGGCTCGTTTTCGAAGACATGAAAGCATGAAGCCAGTACCCTGCGACCAAAGCAGGGGCGATAAAGACCAACAGCTTGTATACACCTGCAGGCAGCCGCCAGTTCTTTGACTTGCTCACCAAAATTTGGAGCAGAAGCCGGGATTGTGCCGGATCTTCCAAACCAGGCTCATGCATGGACATTGCTTGGAACGGCACAACCTTCGTTCCACCAATTTCATTACCAGATCGTACACCTGCTTGAGGGCTTGCGCTTGTGCTTGTGTAGCCATAACCTTGTGCGACTTTGTTGCTTGACACTGATGCCTCAGCAAATACCCAAGCATGACACCTTCTGTGTGGCCCGGTCTGATAGAGTTTGTGGGTTCCTTCTCAAGAGCAAAGGCTTGCAGACCGGCCAACTCACTGACCAACAAGCCGAATACCTGCGGCATGGCTACAAAGCAGCAGCAAAATACTTAACTTTGGATCAGGCTACGAGTTGAGCCGTGACATCATGAAGGCCCAATGCTGCATCGAGAGTTACAAAGTATTGCACATGCATCATGTCATGAGCTGGCCACGTTGCAACCAGCCCCTAATTCATGCAGCAAGCAAATCAGACGATAGCTTGACCTATAACTGTGGATGCCACGTCCCGTGTACAACGCTGACATCTGTACAGATTTTGCCAAGCAATAAATGGGTCTTTGGACCCTCTCACGTTGTTCGCTGCTGAAGCTGCCTGCACAAAACAGCCAAAGCATGCGGCCTCGCCAATGCGTGCCAGGAAATTCTCCATTGAATCCTATTGCCAAACATGCCCAATATGTGCCATAATGGCACAAGTGCAACGCACAACTTCCAACTCGAAATGTACAATGCGCTCGATTGCATCGCTTCGCGATCTCAAAACGCAAACGAAAAGTTGTTACCCAAAAAGCTTTTCCCCTCGATGAAAACTGTGCATTTATGCTGCACTCACTGCCACCCAAACGTAAGCAAGCATATTCAAATGATGGCAAACCCAGCATGGATGGCTGACTTTTCGCGTTCCACACGCTGCAAGAAGCTTGAGTTAGCTGGATGCAGTATGCCACAACTGAGCTTATTCAGACGGCTCCAGCAGGGGAACAAAGTGACACACTCCGAAGACCTATGGTCAAATTGCGGTCACAAGTTCGCATACGCCGTAATGCCGAGCAGAATCTTGATGGCGAGCAGGCTTCAACCTAAAGGTCCACTGGTTAAACCCAACAAAACGTAGCCGGGCTGTTTGGAAATCATTGAACGGCCTGCTCAGGCGTGGGCCACACAGGTAGTCTAGAATCGCTTGGGTCATTCCTTGTGGCTGTAACTGTCGAAACAATCCAAAGCACAAAGTAAATGCTAAGGATGCTATGGCAATGTTTTCAGAAACTCCGTCATGGGAGCTGGGCTTCGAACGTTTTGCTGGGCACAGGCGGTCTCGAAGCCACATTCTGCCTCGTGGAGGGAAATGTCCAGCGAACAGCTGCACTAAATGTTGTGAGAATATGGCTGCCCTAAATTGCCAGCCGGATTCTTTGACGCCTTCTCACCGCATGTGCCAAAGAAAGTCTGGGGTACGGGGTTTGCAGAAATTCCAGGCCGCCATGTCTTCGCAGGGTGCTGTCAAGTGGAAAAAGCCCAAATAATCCTCTCCTCCTGCTGATAAAACCTCCTAATAATGAATGTTCCCTACAAACTGTAATATATCACCATGGGACTTCTTAGGGCGTGGTGGAGGGGTATTAGCAGCAGCCTAGACTGCCGATGGCTTCGACTCGCTGAATCAAAGTAGAAAACGCCCAAAACCGAGCTACAAGTCTTTATGCCAATATATACTAAGCATGCTTCATATCGAAAATCTGGTTTAACAGTGACGGTGGTGACAATTTGAGTGTTGTCCTGCCCAGCCGTTATATAAAGCTAATCGCCCAACTGCTTGAATCTGGGGACTGACGTTTTGCTTTCCCTGCTGATCTTCACAATGCTCGTCATATAATGCCATTTTGTTTGAACTGTTCCTTGGCTCCCTAAATCCTGAACCCCGAAACAACCCAGGGCGCTTCAGTCGTATGAATCCATCTTTCACGTGTAAGTCCGGGATGGGCCACAATTCCAATCTTCAAGACTTTCTTCTTGCCTTGCTTGGGGTTTAAGGTGTCTGGCTGGTCCAAGAGCAGCACAATGTTTGTCTGGAAGATATTGTAGGTCTGAATGATGTGCCCAGAAAAGACCTCCGCTCACAAGCCCCGCTGTATTCTTCTTTGCGGCTGATAAAACAAATGCGGCTGATAAAAACCAATTGATGAATAGTCTCAACAAAACACGGCCAAAGAGTGGCACGGGCCAATCAATATTGATTGGCATGACGGCAAAGTGAAAAATCTCATAGAAACGTGGCCAAAAATATCCTAGTGATGACAGCCCTGACAACTGAAAAGTCAGTAGAAAAAAATCTCCTGCAAGCCCCAAGCCAATCCTGAGGCACATGCAAGATGGATCCAGTGCTCGTGGATCGAATCTGCGCACCTAATAGGAAGCACATCAATTTAGATTTCAAGGCTCTGAAACGTTGAGTTTCTTTTGGCGCATGTGGGACTTTACTCGTCCGACACATCAGGAACCCAAATACAGCGACCCCTGTTATAATACTGGCAACTACCCGCATATTTTGTATCTTGGAGTCTTCACGGAACGAAAACAAGCTAGCCCTAAAGCCTGGGCATAAACTCTCTATGAGCCTGACTAGGCGAGGGTCTTAAGGAGCACATATCATGACCGTAGCCGCGAAAACGTAAAGTACCAGAGACTGACGTGATCAAAGTGTAGTGACTATACGCTCACGGCATGTGGCTGCGGGATGTCCGGCTCGGGGAGCGACTTTCAGATTTACAGGAGCGGTTGGGGCTTACATGGGCTGACATAGTGGGTCCTGAGGCCTTGTTGGGTCACTATCTGCTACGATGCAGGCACCTAAACCAAAATTCTACACAGGAGCGCCGCCGGATTGGGCGGGGAAGGCGGCTGGCAATCATGAGGCTCGGGCTTTGCACATGAGCCTATTTTTTGAGGCCAGAGAAATACGGCAGAATGAGACCCGGAAACAGGCCATCCATCGGTTGGAAAAAGCTACTTGCTCTGGACATCCTTCAAACTCTCGTGGATGTTCCTAGCGCTATCTCCAACACGTGGGAAATTTGGTGCCCCGCCTGGCTGCAACGGTCATGCGCCCAGCACTGCCACTCCTGACGACTCCCGGCCTCACAGTTGTTCAAAATCGAGGCTTGCCTCAAAAGCATGCTTGGAAACGTACTCAGCATTAAAGCAGAACGAGGAGCAAGGCTTGCGCCGCTCATGCTTCATTGTCAGCATTGCTTCCTTTTTTGCCACTAGCACGCCGCGAGTTTGCTGAACTCGGACCGTCCTTGGAGCCTCGGCGATTTCGCCAAGGCCACCAGCTGCCGATTTTCCTCTGGAAATTTTCGCAACTGTCTCAGCTTGCCAAAGGAGCAGCACAGCTGCAAGGATGGTCTTATGGACCCCGGATGGCGCTGGTAGCATAGCACGCAGGACTTCGACCAACAGAGATGCCCACTTCTGCCGCTGAGGCCTTGACATTGAGCGCAGCACGTTGGCAAAATGGTTGAGGCAGGGGGATATGCGAAACCAGACCTCTTTGAGCTCGGCTTCTTCGGATGGTAGCTTTTCTTGCAGCAGCTCTCCCAACTGATGCAGCATGCTTTCAGAGACCAGGCGCCGCACGAAGTGCAGGCCGGCGTTGCTGTAAATTTGAAGTATGTGATGGGACGCGTGCCGAATGGACTTGTCCACGGAACGGCTGCCCGTCAGCAAATACCCAACGTTCTTGGAGACGATGCTGCGGACAACATGTTCGTCAAAATGGCTTGTTCTGCCCAGGTTTTTGCACCAGCACCGACCTCGGATGGAAACCGGCTCGAGCGAGACTATGTGACTGTGTCAGTAGCTTGCAGACATTCGCAAACACTGGCAGTAGTAGTGGCGATAAGCAGATCAAGGGACAGAAATACAATTTTCGCTCTGCAGCATCTGCAAAGGCTTCTCCACGCTGCAGCCTTTCAGAAACCTCGGAAAAGTCCACAATCGACGAGGGCCTGCGCACTGCATAGCTTCAGTGACAGGGAAGCAGCTGAAAGCAAGAAGAGGCCCAGGATCTACAGTTGCCTCTCCAAGCTGCCCATCTCGGTCACGTGCTGTATCAAGACCTCAGAGCGGTCCAGCTTGATGCCGGGGTCGCCCAGGGACGGCCATTATAGACCTTTTTGGGGTCTAGCCCTTAGGCGTGCTCCCCAGTTCCGACCTCTGAATTTTCCAACATGCAGGTTGACACGGCCCCACCTGGCGAGTCTACAATGGGGTGTCCCTGGGGCCGGGGAGCCTGTGGCAAGCTTGTTGGGACGCCAGGACGCCCATTTCAGATCTTCTCTTTTAGTTTTGATTCTGGCCTGTATCACAGAGACATGTCACAGCCACAGCTTTGAGGGAAATTGTCTTGCATTGGACCTTTTAATGCTTTTTACTGGCTGAAGAAGCCTCTTTTTCGCTTGGATGTGATGCATGGAGAGTCGTGAAGCCTCTATTTGTGGGTCTTGGATGGCAGCCTAAGGCTCTCTTTCGTGAGCGTTCAAGAGGCTTAAGAACCTACCTACTTAACGAACAGAAGAATCAGCAAAAGGATGCACAATGAATGGGAAATCAGAAAAGGCACGCTCTACCCCCTCCCATACGGCCCTCTCCCCCAGCACCCTAACCTAAAAACTCACTTGCCTCGCGGCGCCTCTAAGACGGCCCTCAAAAACCCCTACGCTTTTCAGCGCCTATGACCCCTAAAGATCACCTAAAAATGCCTACGCCTTTCGGCGCCTGAAAACCCCTACGCCTTTCGGCGCGGACAAATGCCTAGAAAGAAAACCTCCGCCATTCGGCGCCTGGAAACGCTTAAAAACCCTACTCCTTTCGGCACCTAGGGACCCCTAAGACACCTAGGCCTTTGAGCGCCTAAAAACCAAAAAAGACCACTAGAAACCTGCAAAAAAAACAGCATCTCTTATCGCCTGAAGACCCCTAAAAATGCCTACGCCTTTCGGCGCCTACAAACCCCTGAAAACCCCTGCGCCTCTCAGCGCCTTGAAAAAATATTACCCCTAAGGCCCCTCGCCCAAGGACCCCTACGCCTTTCCGCAACTCCTACAAACAATGATCATGAGATAAGCCAGCCCCACGCACCAAAATAAAATCCTGTCAGCCTAACCCCCAAACTGATCATCTAGTGACATAACATTTTGGGGGGTCCGACTTCCATCCGAGCCAGCAACATGCACAAAATAAGATTCTGCAAGCAGCCACAACGACCTCAAAATAAAATCCTGGAGGATCTGATGAAAATTGAATTTCAGGCTCAACGCCTTAGATTTCATTTTGCCGTATCCGACCCCTATCCTAAAAGAATATATCTCCTCTGCTGCTTCAGGGCCACGGACTCTACACGGTAACACAACACAGGATGCAGTCATGAACAAGTTTCCAATGAAAAGGTTGGGGAGGAGCTTGCCGACAAAAGGTCTGACACAGCTTAAGCCCACATTTTCGTCCCTGCCCCAAAATGTACCTAGGTACACCCCATCCAAGACCTTAGCAAACTGAGGATATAGACCCGGCTACCAGTGTGGCGATTCTCCTGTACCCCGCCTGAGGGCTGTGGGTCTCCCTGGAGGCCCGGCGCCAGGCCACGATCTCCGACAAGTAAGGTGATCTGGCCCTCATGTCCCCGGCTCAGCTGCCCAGATCAGAGACGAGGGACAGTCAGGTACTGCAAGAGACCTGGCCTCAGGCTCACGCAGGCACAGCGCCTCCTTGAAGCTCTTTGAAGCTCGCTGCAACTAAACAAAGCTTGTCAGAAGACCGAGGTGCAGAAGAAGTTTTTGGGGATCCCACTCTTGATGTCCAACCTTGGGTCGACGGGCAGCCCAACATGGCACTGAGCTTCTGAGGGCCCACGCTTGTACCAAGCAGGCTCGGTTCAACGCAAAGCTCTGAAATGCTCTGAAGCTTCGAGGACGGTATCTCTGTTCTTTAGCTGCAATCCCAACCCGTTTTTCCCAGGGCCGCAGGGCTCGCTGCAATCCTGACCGTCCGTCTGGCAAGCCCTGTCCAGGAACCTCGATGGCAGGCGTTGACACAAAAATAATGACACTATTTCAGAAGCCGCGGGCGAAGCATGAAGATGAAGGCAGGCCGCTCGGTCTGGGAAGCACAGCTCGCCGCGCTCGCCGCGCTCGCATGCTGCCTCTGTCCAGCCTCAATCTCCTCTTGCATCCTGCCAGCATGCTCGGAAGATCTCAGAAGCTCAAAAAGCGGAGTCATGCCCCCTGTTACGAGATCGGCAGAAGCTTGTCCAACTCCTCGACACCGCCTTCTCAAGCTCCATGTTCTTCTGCAGCTGCTCCTTGAGGCGATTGGAAATCATGTCCAGCTTTTCTGCCAGAGCTGCCTCAATGCATCAACAATTTAGCAGAACATCTCCAGCACTGAAGGCTGGGCCGCTCGATAGACGACTGCTTCCAAATCCATGTCTTGCCCACAAGGAAAAGAGGGCTGCTGGCATGCTGCCTAACAGGTTTCCCTCGGTGACAGCTAGCGGCTTACAGATGTTGGAAGGACAAAGGTCATCCCTTGGAGTCATCCATCACGAGCCCTCATTCTAAGGTGACCGATCCGAGTGTGAACCGCTTGCACCACTGAGAAAGGCTCTGCAGGTGGGCCTGCTCGACCTCGCGCTCGGCCAAGCGCTTTTCCGCGCTTGCTGCGCGGTCACTTAAGGTGATCACAGTCTCCCGTAGGCCTGTAGCAGAAAAGCATGTCACTGCACCCTACCGCTCTACGGCTACTCACTGCATGAGATCTCTTGCAATTCCGTCGAGGCACGGGTCTCGACGGCTGCCAGCTCTTTTGATTCTTTCATCAGCTGCTTGACCGCCTCAGGGCTCAGAAACTCTCCCCGTAGCGTTTTCCTGTCGCGCATTGGCTCCAACCCTAAACTTGCCTCAGCTTTGGCCTTGCATTCTCCCTAATCGTCCTAACCACCATAACTTGGCGTTGAATGCTCCCGTTTGCAGACCTATGATTTGTTGGACTCATCGCGAAGTAACCGGCCATACTCTTCCTGGCAGCGCATGCTTTTGTTCACGGAGGCAGAGACGGGCAGCGTCAGCACGCTGTGGGCATTGGCGAGACACATGCTGGCTGTCCTTGTAAGTCTTCAGTCTGTCCGACAGGGTCTGCCAGGTTCTCTTATTCCTGGATTTCGTAAAGTTGCGCAAGGTTCTCAACTAAAAGGCACACCTGCATCCAAGCAGCAGATCGTTGAGCAGCTCGTTTGCCTTCACGAGCTCATCACAACGCGACTTCCACCTCGATCTACACACGCTCTAAACCACTGCTCATGCTCTGCCAGAAGACTTCCCGCGCTCCATTCTGAGATTCGGTTTTCGTGTCTGGAGAGGCCGAGGAGCTGGTTTTTGGCAGCTTCGAGCTGCGACGACAGCTGCCCGACTTGTTGCCGAAGCTTCTGATTGTCTGCTTCAAGCCTGTGTTCTGCTGCCAAAGCTCTACCAACGACCAAGCAACTCCTGCTTCCTATGCACAAAAAACTTGCAGTGGCCCCACCCGCCAGGGATGCCAGCGCAGTCGTTCTCCACCAACCTCTCCTGTCGTTCCATGTCACATGACAAAAGAGGCAACAGTAGGGCAAGACACATGAAATCACACATTCAACGGCCTCTGTGCTGCCGGGAGGTGGGCGAGGAATCTGGGTCCTGCAAGAATGAAGCCGCGCATCGCGCACGAGGGGGAGGTACATGGGTTTCCTAGGTTCCATAGTCCTCTGGGTACATAGTGGTCAGGGAGCTCGGAGAGGAACCGTCCTGCCAGGGAGTTGGCGCAATCAGCATGCGGCAAAAGGTGAGGCTTCCACGCTTGCAGCTCGACATGCCATACACCAACCCTAATCGAGGTTTCGGGCTTTGCTCTTGGCGCAAGTCCTGCAAGGCGTTCAGTTTCTGTGAAGAGTACCACGGCGTCTGCAGCTGGGGAAGGTCGGGCAGCTGCGGCGGCCCATGATACCACGTCCACGATGTCTGGCAAATCGCCATGGGGCACTGGCGAATTTGACCAGTGCCAACAAACACCGCAAATCGACTTCTCTGCGCACTCTGCATTACACCGCACTTGCCCGCACCACCACCGCGCAACTTATGAAGTGTGGCGTATAGCGCTTTCGCTACGTGTGATCAAGTGTCGTGAGCGTGTAAGTGTAAGCTTGCCAGCAACCAGGTAAGCGCTAGCTGGAGCCAGATGCGACACAAGTTCAGAAAGACTTGCTCTCATAGGTGAGGTCCAAGTTTGCCGACAGAGCATGTCTAGAGTCTAGGAAGCCCGGCGGCTCCCTGCCATGACAACAATTAACAATTGGACACATTGGCATTGGCGTATGTCTTTCCTGAACAACCCAGGATCGAAGCACAACAGTTCGCGTGAGATGCTTCCTGCATTGTTAGCATCTCCAAACAAACCAGGCTAAGCTGATAGAAGTTGGCTCTCTTGCAGCATCTTGGGCTGCTTCCAAGACGCCGCTGAACAGGAGCTGCTCCAAGACCTGGCTGAGGCAAGAATAGCAATGGCTCATGTGCTGGGACAAGGACAAATCCTGTTGCAAACACTATGAAGCGTGAGGGAGCCGACCATCTTCGAATCAAACTGGCCCGTCACCTGCGAAAACGCTTCATACACTGTCGTACACTGTCAAACAACTTGTGCCCCTGAGAGCTGCAACCACAGAGAAGGCTTTTGTGGATGTGTCAGCAAGCATGACGTTGATCGGGCCTTCTGAGCATTTGGCTTGATGCGGCGAATGAAGTGCGGGTCAGAGGAGCCGATCTTGCTCAGCAAAGCTCGCAAAGAGGCACGAAACCTTATCATCTCGCCATATTGATGGGTGTCACCATCGGAGGCATGCAGTAGCGCAAAGTTGTCCAGAATTTTGAACGCACTAAAGGCGAGTAGCTTAGAAGAAGTCGACTTGGGCTTGCGGTTGGACGTTCTTCCTGGCGAGACGGCCTGATCACAGCAAGCGTTGCAGAACATCTTCGGGCAGGTCGGATAAGCAAGCCTCACTCGTCAAGTTACTGCGAGAGAACTGCTTGGGGCATGGGGCACCGAAATGAAATCCTGGCGGCTCGAGGATTGGGAAGGCTACATCTTGAAGGGGATTCTGTAATCTGCGCGGCACCGACCGTGAGCTCCAGAGGGCACTCTGCCGTCCCAGATCGTGTGGACACAGGCAAGGCTTTCCCAAGGCTCTACATCAGCATGCGTCAGGGATTTCTGAAGAGCAAGACGTGGGGAACCTAAAGAACCCGCGGCCTGAACAGGTGTTGGAGGCCCTACCCTTATCGTGCATTTCAGGGCCATGGAAATGTACAGTCACCGCAGCTGGAAATGCACAACATCAGGCGTGGGGGGGGGGTTGGGGGGCGCAATACCCAGTCAGCATCAGAAGCATCAACGCAGCCATGAGCAAGCGGTCAATGCCTCAAGCAAAAGCTTTGTTTCGGGGGAATGAGTTGGGGCTGGGGGCTTGGCAACGAACATGCTGCAGTCGTCACCTCAGCCCTCGCCTCCTGTGTGCACTGGAGGCTCAGGCTCTGTCGTCGTCTAGCTGTCTAGCCCTCGCCCGAAGGCTCAGGCTTTGTCGTCGTCTGGCCCTCGCCCGGAGGCTCAGGCCTTGTCGTCAGTCGTCAGAGTCGTCAGCCCTCGCCGCCTGTGCAGTGGGGGCTCAGGCTTTGTTGCGTCCGTCAGGCTAATGGTGAATAATCTGATATTTTGAGACTGACTTGATGATGGAGAGCTCAGAGCTTACGACGCAGCTTGCTAAGCTTACAACAAATGCCGCAGTACAGCAGTGAGAGAAAATATAATAACCACCCCTTATCTAGGGGGGGGATGTGGGCTCGAAATAGGAGAATTTCCCATTACAGGTTGGGGGGTGGGGGCGGGGGTGGGGGTGGGGGGGGAGTGGGTAGACTGCGCT